CTAGTAAGTATATAAGAGGTGACTATTTAACATCAACTTAAAACTTAGTTTCAACATTTTTGATCCTAACAACAATCAAAAAGTAATTGCCCATAAATTCTATTCTTAATTATCACATTCTAATGCTCGTACTTTGACGCCATTTGTGAGAAAAAAGAATAACTCTTTTAATCGATTAAATTAGGTATTGGGAACTAATTCGTATGGGCTACCTTGACATCAATTGGTTCAGCCTGTGCACTTAGGCCATTAGGACTTTCATGGGATGTCTAAAAAGAGTGAGGATGTTTTGTTAATGGTAAAGCATGTTCGGTACAAGAAGGTTGACGGAACTTTATATGTTAACTCTGGAAGAATAGCTTGGAGGAATCAAACTTCTGATTCGTTCCGGATTAGTGCTGCTTTCGAGGACATTCGGCTACAGCGTGTTAGCTTGGACAATAAAGAGAAGGTTCAGCTTCAGTTGTTGATGCACAGTGGTGAATCGTTTACTTTCCACTTTGCTGACACCGCCGGTCGGGGAAAGCAATTAGAAATGCGCAACAAGGTGAAGGAAATGCTGCAGCTTATGCTCCCAAAATTTAAAGACAAGGTAAATGTACTAACTCGTAATAAATTGATTTTATCGTGTGGTTGGAGTGTTCATACATTCTTGATGAATCTTTATTTGTGTAATGTAGGCAAATGTCTTATTGCACTCCGTAGTTTTCAATATAACCAATTTGTGACTTGTTTTTATGCATACTCTAGTCCTTATCTCTAAACAGGCTCACTCTGAGTTGAACGAAAAGTTTCGCATTTTGGAATCGAATCCTCATCTACTATCCCTTTACAAGGAACTGGTAGTTACTGGTATATTGAGTTCTGAAGAATTTTGGGCTCGACCCGAATTTTCACAGTCAAAGTCTGTGGGTTCAACGGCTCTCTCATCAGTAGGGACGAAGGATGGGACAACGCAATCTCAGTGTGTGTCGCGTTCGGGAATATCAGTTAACCTAACTCAGGAGCGAACCCAGATTGCTGGAGTCCCTAGTTGTTTACTAAGTGACATCAAGCCCGAAATGGACGGTACGAATAGTATCAAGTACAATCTCACCAAAGAGATAATTGACGCCATCTTTCGAGCCTATCCTGCTGTTCGGCAGCGACATCGAGACCTTGTTCCTGATAAACTCTCGGAGGCGGACTTTTGGAATAAATTCTTTCAATCACACTACTACCATCGGTGCGTTGTGGTACTTCATATCGACTTGTATCTGTCATTGGTTTCCTATTAATTGTTCTTTTACTCTGTGGTGACATTTAATTTTGTTGTGCTAGAATACCAAGAGGTAATGCTCAAGTTCAATTTTGGTTTTTGAACTTACAAGGGCTTACGAAAATGGTTGTTTTAGGGATCGGGGAATTATCAATCAAGATGATGTGTTCAGTGAGTGTGATGGATTGGATGAAAAAATCTTGCGGCAGGAGTTGCTTAGATGCAGAAAAATGCGCTTAGCAAGTCATCTAGACGTTGGCGATCTCGAAGATCATTCGGTAGGGGAAGGTTATGGTGTTGAGCCTCCTCTTCCTCCCCCTAATCCCACTTCAAATGCAAAACAAAAAGTGAACACGAATCAGCTACTACTTCATCGTTTTAACAAACACTCAATTCTGATTATGCGTGCTCTTGCCAAGTATTCTGCTGGAGCAGCGTCTACCGCAGCTACTAATGAGTCTGCTTACCGAGACCTGGCAGCATCTGGTAACCTTAAGAGACGGTTTTATGAAACTGAAGCTTGTAAAAACCCGAAAATCTCAAGTTCTGAACTCGAACTCGCCGTCACCAAGGATTACTTTCAAAGTCCATCGTCAGTCATGCAATCGACAGTCTCCTCCCTCACTCAAAGTCAGGCCCGTCAAGCTTTGGCTGCCTGTCGTGCTTCCCTTTCTGTATCCAGTCGGGGTGGTCGTTTGTTGTTTAATAACAATGACGTCCAGTTGGCTATCGCGGACGTCTCAGCCGGCGGCTGCCTCATGGCTGGCGGAAAGTCTGCAACTGGTGAGAAAGCCGGTGCACCTTCCTCTGTTCTGCTTCTACTTTCCCCGGAGCAATCAAAGGAACTGAGCATGCTCTATTCAGCTGTGGGTGAACTCCTGCGTCACTTTTGGGTCTGCCTCCCCACAACCACCGTTGCAATGGCGGAGAAGATAATTCGAATTCACGAGAGTTTGGGTCGCTTTGAGACGACAAAATTGACGCCTTTCATTGAGTCGGTTGAGTCGACACTTTCTAGTGCTGGTGTGAGAGGCAACGGAGGCAGCGCAACTGGTGTCTATAGGTGTCGCGTCACTGCCCACTTGGAATCGCTGATTAACGCCGCAAAAGACAAGTTCAACGAGTGGCATGCAGGCCAACAAAGGCTAAGCAATAGCCAATAGTATTTGTGCAGATAAGTGCTATATCCAGTACTACATATATATACATATATCAAGAGATTCACCTGAGTTGCTTCCACTTATCGCTAGCTTTTGAAATGTTAGAATGAGCTTCTCTTCTACTTGAGGTTCGATGAATGCAGTTTAAGTAATGGGTTAGATGTGTGCGTAGATGTGCCTATCACTATATTGGGCGAACTCAACTCTGAAGCTGTCAGATGGCGACTGACCATAGCCGGTTTTGATCGAGTTTCTTAAGCATGTTATTACTCTCCTGTGAATCACATGGTAAAGACATGCACCATCGGTAGT